GCGGTTATTATAGTCTAGGACAGTTCAAAACAGCAATCGGGTACCATCAACGTCATCTAGAAATTGCTAAAGAAGTGGGAGACAAGGCCGGAGAGGGAACAAGTTATGGCAATCTCGGCTGCGCTTATTCTGGTCTAAGACAGTTCAAAACAGCAATGGAGTACCATCAGCGTGCTCTAGAATTTGCTAAAGAAGTTGGAGACAAGGCAGAAGAGGCACGCTCACTCTGTTCTCTTGGAATAAGTTGGGAGAGGGAAGGAAATATAATGAGAGCGCTTGACCTCTTTCATTCGAGTGTAAAGATTTATGATGATATCAGGGATAGTCTTCAATTTAACGACAACTGGAAGATTTGCTATCGCAATCAGCATAAAGATGCATACACATGTTTGTGGCGTATTAACCTAAGTCTAGGTGAAGTTGTTAAAGCTTTCTTTGCCGCAGAAAAGGCACGTGCTCAAGCTCTGAGAGATCTTTTAAACTCAAAATATCAGGTTGGAGACTCTTCAGAATATAGGAGCCTGTGCGTTTCTCTGAGTTGTGTACCATCAAGTACAGTTTTCATAGCTATAAGTGGGCCTTGCGTTTACTTCTGGGTTTTCCTAAGCAACGAAAATGTCCAGCTGAGAAAGGCACATATCAATAATTACAGATATCAGGATGAACTGGAATTTTTCATCGGGAAGATGAACAGAGATGCCCTTAAGGAGATCGGTGTTAGAGATGCTGTAACCTGCGAGAATCCTCCGACTGAGTCGCTGAAAGAGGAGGAAGTGGCGAATGATATGATTCGAATTGATGTGAAGTCTTCACAATCAACTGCGCTGCAGAAGCTTTATAATATCATTATTACTCCCATCGCTGATCTGATCGTAGGCAACGAGCTCACAGTTGTCCCTGAGGGGCCATTTTGCCTTGTACCTTATGCAGCTTTAGAGGACCAGAAGTCAACATATCTAAGTGACTCTCTCGGAATTCGCGTGCTTCCGTCCCTGACGACTTTACGATTAATTACTAATTGCCCAGCTGAATTCCACATGGAGAGTGGTGCTTTGCTTGTCGGCGACCCGTGTTTCAAACATGTACTTTATCAGGGAAAACTGTTGACGCAACTTCCGGGAGCAAAGAAAGAAGTTGAAATGATCGGACGAATCCTCCATACTTCCCCCCTGCTAAGAGAAATGGCTTCAAAAGATGAAGTTTTAAAACGACTGTCATCGGTGGCTTTAGTACACATTGCATCACATGGTAAAATGGAAACTGGAGAAATTATATTGGCTCCAAACACTGCAAGAGAGAACCCTCAGCCCCAAGAGACTGACTATCTAATGACGATGAAAGATGTCCTAGAAGCTGGGCTGCGGGCGCGACTAGTTGTTCTAAGTTGTTGTCACACTGCTCGTGGGGAGATCATGGCCGAGGGTGTGGTTGGCGTCGCGCGAGCATTTTTGGGTGCGGGTGCTAGATCGGTTGTGGTAACGTTGTGGGCGATTGAGGACGAGGCAACCCTGGAGTTCATGAGTTTCTTCTACGATGCACTGTTCAAAGGCAAGAGGGCAAGTGAAGCTCTCAATGGAGCCATGAAGTGTATGAGAGAATCTGGAAATTTCAAGGAGGTGAAGCAGTGGGCACCATTCGTACTCATTGGTGACGATGTTCAACTGGATTTTAAGGAGATTTAGATGCTGAACCATGTAATTACTTTTACTATAACTTCGATTCAGTACTAAGCGACTTCTGATAAAAAAGATAGCTTTAGATGTCTGCATAGATGCGTTTTTTTGCCATGCAATTTTTTTTTCTACAGGCTAGCAGTTTTTTTGTTGCACGGACAAATTGAGATGCCATACAAATGACTCGACGTGATTACTACGATAACGTTTTTCTTAGACAACAAGAAAGGATTGAAAAAAACTTTCGTTTAAATGAATCCTGTTGTGCAGTGTCTAGTTTTATTTCGTATCCCCGAATTAAGGAAACAAATTCATGGCAATTTAACAAGCTCCCTAAAGTTTTCTCTTTCTAATGTATTATTTAATTATTATTTTTCAGTTAAGGAGGTGAGCCTTGAAGCAAGAAAGCCGATGAAGTTTAAAGCTGCCCACAAACGTTAATGTTTGTAGCAAAACCCACTGGGCTACTGATGGAATGTCTGTGATAGTCTTCTTTTCAAAACAGGGTGAACCAAAAGATGCTTAAATCAAAAATTTAACAGGAGCCCCTATGGATTTCTATTGTTTCAAAAATTGTTTTTTCAGTTTTAAGAAATGCTCTTGGATTTTGGACATATCAAAGAGAAAGAACTTTGAAGTGTCTTGATTGTTCATGTCAGGTTCAAACTAGTTTTGTAATGTTATTTTTTTCAGTGATGTCCTGAAATTATCATGACTCGCTAGGTAGCTGTAATCTAATTTGAATGAAGTCGTTACCTATAAACAAGTTTATTGGTGTTGCAGTTTCGTCTAAGTCGAAAAGATTTTTTTTCCAAATTTTTTTCAATCCATTTTTGCCGTATAGCTGAGTGATAGTTATACGCTTGTATAGAGTTTTCAGAGAACTTGAAGAATACTCAGTTGTTCCGCAATTGATCGATGATCTTAGTTTCAGTCGAGTGGAAATTGCGTGAGTAACTTTTCGAGGAATTTTACCAAGTTGTTTGTTGTTAAAGTTATTTTCTGCATCTATTAATTCGTTTGGTCTGACTTTGAGTGACTGATTCTAACTATTATGGCTAAGGTTTAACCTTGTCTTTACCAATATTTAGAAAGATTTGTCTTTTGCGTTTGATTGCGATAAACAATTATTGTACCTTGTGTAGTGCATCAGATACATTTTAAGAATGCTCTTAAAAACCGATTGTTCAATTAGAAAATGGAAGGCTTAACTGAATAATTTTTTTGTTCGGAAACTGCATGGCAGTTTCAAAGTTATGTCTCAGACGAAAGGTCGAGGGGAAAAGTTCAGAAAGTTTTAAGTTGGAGCTGGATGATATTTTATTCAGTTACACCAATTGTGTTATTGACCTAATTTTCACTTTCTTTGTAATTGTTTTTGCATTAAATGCTGTTGTTTAAGTTACAGAAGAGTGGTTTTGGAATTTATTGACGGGGGCGTGCTGCATTGTGAGGGAAGAGATATCTGCCGAACAAAAAGCAACAACCACGGGAAAAACAATAGCAACAACAAAATAAATTTTCTGGTATGTTAGCCGCTCCAATCTCCCGTGGGGAGAAAAAGCATTGATGCATGAACTGCTTATACGATCCCTGAATCTTATGAGTTCTCGTATTGAAGAACACCTTGAAATTTGCAACGTTATGTATCCTAGTAAGCCGTCACTCTGAAAAAGAAAAATCGTTAACCTCCAAATGGCAAAATTTAGGGGTCTACCGTCAGAACCGCCAGTAACAGTGAGTCTCACTTGTGACTTTACTTTTATCGATGACATTGAATGGACCACAGCAACGCTATGAGGATATGTTTTGAAAGGGAACTTTCCCGGTCGGTGACATTTCTGGTAATGGAAACTTTGTAAAGGTTGTTGGCTGTTAAATGCAAATTTACCTACCATAGAGCATTTCCAGTTAAGGAGCATTGTCGGCACAATCCTGTTGCACGGAAACGGAATTGTCAGACAAAGAGCAGAGCACCTTTCTCCGCATATTGAAGATTCTAATATTTTCAAACTGGAAACGTCAAGTTAGTTTTATAGAAGTTCTCATCCAAATTACATCACAAGGCTTTTAAGAAATACTTTTATTGCTGAAATGAGTTCCCTCGGGTACGTTTATTCATGATTTCATAGAATTCGAAGCGATAGCCTATATTTTTGTATCAAGGCCGGTACTCGCTTATTGAAAGAAAACTTCGATTTTAGCCTAAGTATGACAAATAAAGATTTGAAGGCGACTTCTTTGTTCGCAATTTGGATGCCACACGTACAGAGGAGTGTCAGGATTGTTTTTTCCTGACAAAATGGCGCCACTTCTCTCTTCTCTGGGCCTGTTTTTTTTCTTTTTCTTTGTCCAAGGACTCCTCTCAAATTTTGATTTATGTATATTATCCATGAGAAAAGACTTTCCACCAGCAGAGAACTTCCACGGGTGAATTTTGTCAAGTGGACGGTGTAAACAAAATATGCAAATAACATGCAATTGCCGCGAATATTCCCCACGGGGGTTCTCCCCTTTACGAGATTATGACACCTTCCTGATTTCTTAACTTTTCTTTGAAAATACGTTTTCCTAAATAAGTCGGACGCTTTTTGAGGTTTTTAAAATTTCTTTTTGTAAACGTTTGGTAAAATTTCTAACTTCAATCTAGTCAAATAAAAGAAAAAACCATTTTTTCGGCCTCTGAAGGTTGGAAGTAACATTAAGTTTTGCAAAGCATCCATATCAAGCTGATGTTTTGGATCACCTGAAAGGTTTCCAGAGCAATGAAGTTCGAAAACTTTGTCCCTGTGAGGGTGGTGTTTTTTGAAAGGCGCAGACCTAGATGAAGTTCATCTTAAACGCTAATGTTAATCGCATTTCTCCGTTTGATCTCCGTCAGTCATTCCTCTCTCGACCGAAGTTGCAAATGTTTTACATCTTTTTAAATGCTATCAGGAGTAGAAAAAGTGGTGATTCATAATTTATAAAACAACTCTAAAGGTGGTGTAAATGGGAAGTATTCTCATCATTTTCGGAGTCCAAACACTTCGTTCTTTATTCAAATTAACCCTTTTATTTTTAGCAGCACTAGTGTTGACTTTAACTTCCTGTAGATGAGTCCAAATGTATACCTCGTACCTACAGCTTGTTCGTGATCCAGTAACAAAATTGTTCCTCAAGTGACAAAGATTGAAATTCGAAGTAACAAACATTTTCGGCTCCAAAACTAATCCACAGCACAGGTAAAAATTTTAATGAAAATGTGTCAAACTGAAAACTACACTGAGGCGCCTTTCAAAAATTTGATTTCCCACCTCTCAATGGATCATCGTATACATCCAGTTTTGTGTTACTTGACGTTGCTTGACATCCGTTTGTTGCTACATTTTGATCGTTTGATAAACATTATTAATATTGTCAGAGATGATCAGAGAAAATACTGAAAGCAAACTTTAAGATGCATTATAGTTCGTATAAACTTTATTTATCGCCCTTTAACAACCGAGTTCGAAGAGCGCATGCTCAAAACTGGTGTTCAGACCTTTTCTGCGTGTTGTCATCCGCCATTTTGAATCGTCATGCGAATTACCGCTGTACTTTCTCTCGCAGACTTCCCGTTCCCCCTTCTCGTTTCCTGGTGCTGGTATGTTATATCCACAGAAGATGTTCCTAACTACTCCAACATAAAACATTACAACCACTTTAAAATAAGTATATAGTGGACTTTTTTTATTCCTTTCTCCAACCTGTGACCGGACGCTCATTTTTCAACCCAGTTCTTCTTCCGTCGTTGAGAGGTTACCTTCCGCCATTTCTGAAACCAATGGACTGCTTGTCTTTGAGATTTTGTTGTCAAAGACCAACTGAGCTAACCGCCTTCCGGCTAGCTCTATTGGTTAGAGCGCTGGACTGTTATGCGGGAGGTCGAGGGTTCGAGCCCCGGCCGGACCAACACTTATGGCCTTAAAATAACTGAGGAGAAGGTGCTACCTTTTTTTAAAATCAAGAAATGGATAGACATTCTAGTCTTCTCGGACCAGGACGAATGAACCGTAGGTCCTGTCTCCTGCATCTTTAATTAGATAATTTGATTAGGCAGAGGACGTTAAAGAACACACATCATGAGATTACAGTGATGTGGTCTGGCCTGGTTACTGGGAATTGGGGGGAGAAGGCGTCTGTAAAAAATTCGCCTTTGTTGATTGTAAACTGCCACTGGCAGTCTGGTAAAGTCCCCCGCGTAGTATTGTAAAGCGCCATGAGCTCACGATACGAGCGCTATGTAAATATAAGTTATTATTATTATTATTATTATATAACCAAAGAATGAGAATTTCAAAGCTTTCCTCCGTCAGGCTTTTGTAATAGGCTTTTGCGTCATTTTCCCTACTCTCAAGATACTGGACGTTAGTGAAACACCTGTAAGCTACCCGAGAGATGGGAAGCTCGAATGTTTGCACTGAACAGCGCGTTATAAACATTAAAAACGCAGTCACGGGTTTGCGCAACAGTCAAATTTTCTACCAACACCAAGTGGCCTATTGCGTAGAAATTCGCGTTTACATATCGTCACCTAAGCATACACATCCACCAATTAGATGCTAGAGAGAAGGATTTCAGTTAATTTACGTATTGTGTCGCAAGTTTTCCACAGCTCTCAAGAATTTAAGGTATCAGCGTTTTTTTTTTAAAGTCAAAGGTTCTTACCATCAAAATATTCCACAAATTTTCTTCTAAATGGAGCTAAGTAATCACGAACTACCGGAAGCCACTACTCTTGGACAAATTGTGCTTGGGTGAGTTTTGCTCTTTCATTTCGAATTTATTTTGATCCAGAACGCTCTGGATAAGATGTGATTTTGGGGAACTGAAGAAATAGCACAAGTTGAACTTCGCAATGGCCTTCTTGTTATTCAGAACAATTTTCTGCTTCACTCAAAAGCATGTGAAGAATCAAGGCTTGCATGCAAACCCCTGTATATCTTGATCTTGTGAACCTTTGAGTAAATTTACTACCAGACCATGAGAGCATTTGAAACAGAACTGAAGTTGAAAAAAAACTTCTGATATCGCATAACTGAAAGAAACTTTAAAAATATCGGTAAACGCTTTGCTGATAAAAAGAATCTGTCGCTGTAGTATTTTTGAAGGAATATTAAGGAAATTTCTCGTGCTAAGCAGGTGTAGAAGTCTCGTCTTTCGCAGCTGTATTCTGCGTCATTCCTAGCATTCACACGCTGAACCTAAGTTTTTAACCTTTCGATTTCGACGAAAGCAGGAGATTGTTTAGTCCGTTGTTACGCGACCGAAAAATCGAACCGCACGACCTAAAGCCGATTAAATGTTTGATTAATTACCTAATGACAAATCCGGCTTTGATCTGATCAGCTACCCGAAAGGTTAAAACGTGTTCTCTCGCAATTTCCATCGATGAACACTCGAAGAAGAAACTTGGTACTTGTAGCCGGTTCAATACTTTTTAATTTGGTAACGAGACATTTTTTTGTCACTAAAAAAGAAGTTTTCCCGCAGTTTAAGCTACAACGGAAGCACAAATATGTCTCCTTGTAAATCAAAATAAAGAAAACTACAGCGAGTGTTACAGACTCATTTATTTTGGTAACCTCTTCGTGTTTATATTTCCTATGTAAAAATACTTTAATTCTATTAATGAAACCTTCGTTTCGGCCCTTAATAATGCAGAGAAGGAACTTGGCTGCAATACAACCTTAAGCTCAAGCTTGGTCAGTAGCACAGCCATAGGGGGCACTAGGTGTCATAATTTACGTTTTTTGATTTACAAAACAAAAGTTGTGTAGTACCAGTTAACCTACCATCCTCTGAATCCGTTTAACCTCCAAATTTGTCATTTTATTTCTAAATTCCTGAAAATGGCAAGAATATAATTTTTCTTTAAGAGAATTTCGATAGATTTTCGATTCCCGAGTGAATATCAAATGCCTCCTTGCTCTCCTACTTTATCGGCTCGTTACTTGATTTTATTTATCTTATATATTTTCATTTTTTCTGCCATATATACTCAATGTTTCTGTATTCCGATGAGTTCTTCCTGCGATTTAGACTCAGTTATTCTCCTTTCCTTTTGTAACAAGAGGACATGTTTCTCGGATTGTACAGATTTGTTTTCAGACAGAATCTTAACCCATAAAATCTCAACAATGTTATGATTACTTCCCTTGTTATCCTTATGCATTTCCTGGCAAAGTATTTAAGAGAATGTCGTATTCCATCAATAAGATAATATCTTTCTGTTCAGTTTTTCTATTTTAATTTCATGATTGTTAGATTTGTATTGATAT